TCATGACGTTAAAGGGCCCCATTATGTTATTTTTCTCAGCCTCTAGCACCAGGAAAATAGCTTAAAAATCATAGCAATGACGATAGATCATACCAGGTCCATAGTGTAACAGTGCTTGTATATACCAGCCGTTTCAGCTTCACATGCATTACATATTCAGCAATTTCAGTCTTCGAATTGATTCCGTTGAAAGAATTTGTTTATAGATGAAAAAACACAACAATTTAAATAAGTAAATGAAAATTACAGATGAAAATTTTAAATTTATTTTCCTAAAATAAAACTAATGAAGAATGTCACCTTATATGTTTATAAGGTTAGAAAATTCTCCTTAAAAAATAATAAAATTCGATAAAACAAAACTTTTTGGGCCTCGATGATAATTATGGATGATTTAATGGTTTGACCTTTTTAAACAAATTACTTATAAAAAATTAAATTCAATCTAACAGTTTCATCTCTTAATATATTCTTTTAAAGCTGATGACTTAGGCTGATGTGATCATGCTTTTTTTTAGCCTAAAACTAGTCAATATAAATATATATAAACCTAGTCAATATAAATAGATATTAGGTCATTTATATAATTTATATAGATCATCTCTTTATCTAATTATAATTATGTGAGGTAATCACTTAAATACTTAAAAATTATAGTTTTTATACGCACAAATGCATCAAAAATTTTATTTTAAAAGATTTTTTAAATTGAAAATAGGGCTTGTTCTGGTTTTCAGTACACGAGGAGACTTTATTGATAGCAACTTTCATGGAAACTCCTGAGCTAGCCGGAGTCCTCCATTGGAGGCGGGATAACAACATAGAAAATTGGACGGGGAAGAATACATTCATGAGTTTCTTAGTTAGAAAACTACTTGTGGCAGGAACAATAATTAAGATACTATTAGTCTGGGGTTATACTTAAATAAGTACATTAATGTTTTTTGAAACAGATTTAGGAAGATGTTGCCGGGCTAGTTCATTCCAGGAAGCATGTTCGGCGTGTGGCCTCTAATGATTCAGAAAAGGAGGGACTTTGAAGATGTCGACGACGGACAAAGCCTAAAGGAACTCACTTTCTGCCTGATATTACTCTAAATATCATTGTTGTTGAACAGTGCTTCGGTTTCGGTTGTAAGTTTGTTGTATCAGTAAATTTAGATTAATTTTAAAACAATTAATAACATTTTAATTTCTTAATGAAATGATATGATTTTAGATAAAGAATAAAATATTTTTTAAGAAAATCTTGGAATTGACCTAACATAATCTAAGCCTTGTCGTATCAATTGAGTAAACTTGAATTTGATTTGAAATAAAACTCTTTGATGAGCTCTAAATACACAAGTTACCGGATCGAGAGGAGATAATTCAACAAGCATTCCCTTTTCTTTTAACTTTCCACGCTGAGACACCGCGTGTAAATTTAGCAGGGGAACATCATTCAAAAAAGAAAAAGAAACTGTGCAGAATGGCAGATAACTGTGCAGAATGGCAGATAGTGGCTCTTCATGACTAAACAAAATTTCCCCGTGTTCCATAATTGCCAATCGAAGTTCATTGCCACCCCCATCCGATCTACTGTAATTCGTGTCATAATTGATAATGCTGTCCTCGACAATGGCTGCAGCTCTTTTACACCAGTGGTTACAATTTGTCGATGGCCTTTTTTGTTCAACGAAAAAGAAAGTATTTTCTGCTTGCAAAACCTGAGTTCATGATGATGCAGGACCCTCTTAGGTTATTTCTCAGCCCCTTGAACCAGGAAGTGGCACGAGAACTGCAAAAGACGATCCTAATGGAAGCAATGAAATCCTAGTGGGCCATGAACGGATTCCTTGTTTGCATGAGCTCTGCCTTTAACAGTGCTCGTATAAGCTGAACATCTCAGCTTCACTTAGAAAACCGCTCTTGTATTCATGCCACTTTTTCCATCTATTAATTATCGAAAACCTGATAAACGATAAAAATTTATACAATAAAAATCAGTCTTCTTGTATTTTTTTTTTTTTTAAAAAGGGGCTCGTCTGATCTTTTAAAAGGGTTGATGTTGAGTTTAAAGAAAAGAGAGAAGAAGAAGAAGAAAGGAAAAAAAATCAGCGCTAGACTAGAGGCATATTTAGTCAATATGTCAAATTATCACGTAAGGGGTGTCGAGACTCTCTAGATGCCATCTTAGAAGACAACATCTGGTATCTTAGAAGACAACATTTGGTATTTGAATAACCCCACACACATGCCATCCAAATAACATGGGGTTGTCTGCCCGTGCTAATAGTTTTTTTTAATAATATTTAATATATATTAATTATAATAATACTCTGGAGGAACCTTTATATTTATAATAAAATCAATATAAAATAATAAAATAATAAATAATTATGTTGATTTTATTATAATTTTGAAAGAGTTGAAAAGACAAAAACTGGAAGAAAAAAAACAATCACATTATTATAATTTTGTAGAAACTAAAAATATCAAAAAAAAATTAAATTCGAGAAAATCCTACTTTTTAGAATACATATTTTGTACGTCCAGATGAGTAAGTAAAATCCTGACTATCCCAAACTCTTGTAAGAACTATAGACTGTAACTCAAACTTGAAATTTACTATACAGATCTTAAATTTTTTATTATCATGCTATGTCCCTTGAAAATTAAAAATACCAAAACGCATTCAAGTAATTTACATTATTTTTTATTGTTGAATTAGTAATTTTACTATGTAATAAAAAATAAAATGATTAATTTGACTATCTCTATATAATTTGTAAAGAATAATTAATTTAATTCTAGGATTTTTTTCATGGAGGTCTATTTATAGATGATAGGATGAGAATAAAATTACTTAACAATTAACATTAATTAATAATTAACAAAATAAAAAAGCTAAAAAGGGTGTTTTACATTATATTCTATAGTTACAAATTTAGCTGCACTGTTCATGAATAATTATCTTACAGGCTATACATACATACATACATATGAGTTCTTAAAAGTTAAAAGAGAAGAGAGACGCATGAAAAAAGTGTGAAATCACCCTAACATGTAGTCAAATTGGGTAAACCACGTAAATTCTTGTGTGTCATTTCTCATTTTATCTTGTTCCTTATCTTTTGTCTTGTCGGGTTTGTATGACAGTATCCTAACAAAAAGAGGAGAGAAGACTAGTCAATCATATTATGATCACAATAGTCGTTGATATTAACATTATTGGGTTTATATTGGAGATGAGAGAGTTCACTGGAGTGGTGAAGTGGGTTAGGACTTCAAATATTTTGCTCGAAAAAAAAGTAATTTGAAATCTAGAGAGAGTAATGAATTTTTATTATTATTTAATTTTTTTTATTATGATGGATTTCCATTAACATTTCCCATGTGTTCTGATCCAGATAGAATACATAAGCACAGAGCTCTTCTATAATTGCTAAGTGGAAGTCCTTTGCCCTTCATCTTATTGCCGTGTAAGATGGCACCATGGGCATGTTCTTCTGGCGTTGAATTTTGAAAATTTTGTCTGTATAATAACGGATACTCTTTCTTATATAATTTTCACAACTACAACAAGGAAACGATGAACGCTGTAGGGTTACAAGCCAGACTACAAAACAGAGACTAGGTTACATAGGTTTAGAACTAGGAGCAACCATTAAACTATCAAAACATAACTATTTTACAAAAGCCTAACCCAAGCTCTTCACTGTCTACAAAAACAACTTAAAAATTATAATGAGTAGTCTTGTACAGTTGTTCGACTACTTTCTGAAGTTTCTAATACCATGATCATGTATTGTCTCCCTCGGTTCTTCTCTTTTCCTCTTGGGGAGAGATAGAGAAGACATGACCCTAGCAGACGCAACCTTCTTCACCAATAAGTTCCACAGGGTTTCATCTCCTTTTCTCTCTCGTTGCATTTTCAGTTTCAATTGCCTGTCACAGGTGAAGAAAATGGCAGCATTGTTAGTTACTGCAGGCCTGGCACAGTCTTGCAATAAATTATGACTAGGTGCCATGTATGTTATCGAAGCATTGATGGCAATCCTTCCATTGTTCCTAATTGGCGGCTAAATTGGTGGTTGCCACGCCTTGTGGAAGCTGAGGGAAGGGGTCCACCATGCGGCTCCATGCCTTCCTCTCAGTCCAGTTGGGCCATCCCCAGGTACAGCCGGACAAACCATAATGAAGATAAAAATATCTGTTGAAAATATCATCTTTATCTGTCACATTGAAGTAGCCTCGCTTAGCCTTATTAGCTTAGTGCGATATCCCTATCTTCTACATCAAAAACTGATTGAACCAGCCATCATTTCATTGGGATAAATGGGCAGAAATAACCCTTCTCTTAGATTTTTATGCAGAACCCAGAACGAAAGAATAACCACACAAAATTAGATAAAAACTAGAAGCTTCGGGGGGAATCGGCTAAGCAATTGTGACCAGCCAACGACCACTTTTATACTTTCAGGTGGATAAAAAAAAAAGGCACTGAAAAATCAAAAGCATTCCACTAGGCCAACCCTACATGACCATCAGCTACTAAAATGTGGTTCTCTGAATAAAAACGCAATGTCTCAACCACTATAAATGATTTTTATGGATCGTGTGGCAAAATACACTTTGCAAGTCATATTAAAACAGTGTATGATGTAACTAGCTTTTTAAATGATTTTTGTTTGAAAATATATTTTTAAAAAGAATTTATTTTTAATATTATTATATCAAAATAATTATAAAACAAAAAAATTATTTGAAACAAAAAATTATTTTTTAGATTTTTTTTTCAAGAGTGTTAAATCTAATTAGAGGCACAATGTCATACAGGGCAAGATAATTTGAAAGTGAGCTAGTAACTCAATAATATTTACAGTACTTAAATAATAACTTTATATCCGATTGCTTATTTCTTGGGCTAATTAACTTTTTTTAAAAAAAAATTGATATATCTAGAAAAAAAAGGTTTCAAGTAAAGATATTCTTATTATTTTTTATGTGTTATGAGTTTTATTCTCTTCTTTTTATATGTGTTTTTTAATAGTTCTGAAATTAATATAATATTACTCATTATTCTTGACCAACATGTAATTTTTTCGAAGGAAGCCAAGATGTAAAGGCTTCAAGTTTAGATTCTTGACATAATAGTTCTGAAAAATAATTAATATAATATTACTCATTATTCTTTACCAACATATAATTTTTTCGAAGGAAGCCAAGATGTAAGTAAAGGCTTCAAGTTTAGATTCTTGACAGCGCTTCCTTTATTTGGTGGGGATTGTAAGAATGAAGCACCACTTCATCACTCTAAAAAAATCTTCCAATTCCGGGAAAAAAGAAGAAGCAAAATTAATCCCAATAAAAATCTCTCTTCCCCTTGACCAACTGATGGCCTGAGAAACACGCAGGGCCAATTAGTTGTAAGAATAATTAATAATGCAAATGCACCATCAAAGCTCATAACTAAGCATGATCCAGCGAGTTAAAATAAACGATATTAGAGAAATTAACAAAATAAAGGGATTTTATTCAGATACCTGCAAAGAGGAACCCTGCAAGAATCAGTTTGGTCACAGATTGATGAGTGTAGTCTTAAGAGCTGCCCCATCCGCTTACACCTTGAGCATTTTCCATTAACCCGATTCTTACACAAGGCGAAGTGCTTGATCAGAAGCTGGAGACCTTCGCATGTGGAGAACTTGTTGCACGGACCCCGACGTTTATTGCTAGGTCCCAGGTCACATGGGCCGACGGTCGTGCACCCTTCTGTGCAAATGTGCTCTAAGCACTCCATTGCTTCACTTAGCTCCATGAACAATCTCTGCTCCTCTCTCTGCCTCCTTGTTCTCTTCTTCCTCTGCACACCATTTCACAATTTCAATTCGAACCGTGTCAGTCGTACTGTTTGCTTTTCTTCGATTATGTTTTCTTAATCCAACGATCAGAACTCACCGATTCAGCTTCGTCAATGAATTTGAGAATCTCGAGCTCAAGAAAAGGGTCATTCTCCTGCATGAACTTCCAACCTTCTGTCTTTTCTACAGCCTTGAAATTATCATACAACATCTTCATGCACTTGACATAAAGATCCGGTGAATCGCAGAGCCTAGCCAATTGGAGTACATCCACCACATTCTCGACGGTCAAACGTTGACCAACAGCCTTTGAACAGATGTGCTTCAACTGTGGGACCAAGTACACGTGTGACAACGCCAGTAGATGGATTCCATACTTCTCCAACTCCTCCTCGCTGCACCTGCACCAGAAGGGGGTTGGGGGGCTCTCTCGTCATTTACCAGAAACTGAAGGCCATTTAATTAAGCTTCAAACTCATCAAAATTAGAAAAAGTAAAAACAATTAATAATAAGCCGTCAACTGTTATTCATTTTCGGTCGTTGGATATTTACTTGGATTTCAAAGAATGATCGGCTGAGATAAGCACGTAGATTTATTAGGCCAGAAAGAAAAGATGAATAAAATAAATAACCCTTGAATAATATAAAAATAATAATGAAAATGAAAATAAAATAAATAACCCTTGAATAATAATATAAAAATAATAATGAAAATGAAAATAAACCTTGAGGAGTAGAGGAATTGAATGAATAGGGAAACGGCGTCGCATGGAACACCGAGGATAGGGATGATCTTCTCGGAGCTATGGTGTTTATGTAGCCTATCTATGATATTTTCCAGTACCGGTGACACTGATGCCTGCCAACAAAAATAACAAAATATAAAATTCAGCATATCATTAAATATAAAAGAAATCAGCAATTAGAATATCAAAATTCAAAGCAAACCTGCCGTTTGTTAACATTTTGCCGATGATAAAAACAAAAAAGGATCTAAAAGATTTGGACCCTTTATGTTTTACGAAGATTACTCGATTTGAGAATCAATTAAGAAAACGGAAAGCGAAAAAAAGGATCTAAAAGATTTGGACCCTTCATGGATTACTCGATTCGAGAATCAATTAAGAAAACGGAAAGCGAAAAGCTACAAAGGAAAAGAGAAAAGGGACGTACGAGAATGCCAGTGTGAGCCGGGATGCGGAGGCCACTGGACGTGAGGATTTGGACGTCTGGTTCAGGCAATGAATTATGATCGGAGAATTGAAAATGACTGCTCATGAGGTCGCCGGAGATGGTGGGGGTGGCAGCGGTTGCGGTGTTATGAGTTTCCCCCATATGATACACGAGTTGTTTTTGATGTGTTTTGTAATGAATATGGTAGATGCGTAGGCTGTCTCTGGTTTTATAGACAACTAAGGAGAGAGTCCTTTGTTTATTTCTTTAGGGGGGGGAAAATAGTAATGCTAGTAAAATATATTTTTAGAAAAATATATTTTATTTAAAAATATATTAAAATAATATTTATTATATTTTTTGAGAAGTTTAATCCATCGTTCAGCCAAATTAATTTTGTGCCTTTGGTGACAAGTTAAGAAAAGGTTGTATCAGAGTGATAAATGAACAGTCAACAAACATCTGAACGAGTAAAGTCAGAAAACGAAAAGGGAAAAAAAAAAAAAAAATCAAGAAAATGTAGCCATGAATGTTTATTATGATTAATTTGTAAAGGGAATTTAATTACTTCATGACATATGTCATCAATTAATACGGTTTGTAAACAGTAACAAAACAATGATTGGTGTTCGAATGCATGCACCTGCCGAGCTCATCTGCTAAAGAAGTACATGATCGCTCCCTCAAAAAAATAGTATCTCCTCTGCATCAATATCAAATCGAGGTGTGCACGGAACATTATTTCATTTTTTTAAGGTTTTCATTGAATTCATGGTCACTGCCGGAGGCCACATATATATATATATATATATATTACAAAGTCAAAATCACATAAATCAGTATTTATATATATTAAATACTGATTTTTTTTGTCCATACTAAATTCATTTTTTTATTGTCCAATTTAAAACAAACTAATCACACCAAGATTATAGTTTATAGGTTAAATTCATGAGGAAGTGCCTAAAGTTTAATAAATTCGTCTAATAAATCATTGTACTTTAATCTTGGACATTAGCATCTTTGTACTTTCAATTTTTATTCAGTCCCTTTGTATGAATTCATTTGTTTTTACATTTTCAAAGAGTTTTTAAAAAAAATTAATTTTTTATTTTAAATTAATATTTTTTGTGTTTTAAATATTTTTAATATATTGATATTAAAAATAGAATAAAAAAATAAAAAATAATAATTATTTATATGTATTTTTAAATAAAAAATATTTTAAAAAATAACCATCATTATAATACCAAATGAGTTTATAAAGGTATTTGAGAGTATAGTAGCAATTGTTTATTAAAGTATTTTTTACTCAAAAATAAATTAAAATAATTTTTTTATTTTAAAAAAATTATTTTTAATAGTAACACAAAAAAATAATTTAAAAATATAAAACATAATTTTAAACACAAAAATTTTATATATTTTTTAAAATAACAGTATTTAAAATACAGCTCGAATCCACGTCAAAAGCACTACCAAGGGACCATGAATTTGCAAAGTACAAGCGTTGATGTGTTTATGGTGTAAGTACATGGGCCGATATAAACAACTCAAAAGACTCGAGGGATGAAACGGCTCATACACCCATTATTTATATCCTTATTAAATGCTGTCGTTTTAGTGCAACCATACATTTCTAATAAGTACTAGTCGTCTAATCTTGTTTGCGATAGAATTACCATTTTTTATTTTATTTTATGATAAGTTGTATCCTGAAATCAATATGTATATTCATTAAATATACTGTCATCCTCAATAAAACAATATCAACGAACTATATATATATATATATATATTCTCACTCAAGCTTATCTATTCCTACCTGTTTCTTTTTTTTTTTCTTAATTTATTTTAAGTTTACCCCGAGTTTACTCAATCTCATCATTCTTTTTTATTTTTTCACTCGGCATCCAAATCAAGCTTCTAACCAATATTAATCTTAGATTTATTGGCAATCCAATCCATTAGGTCTCTATTTTAGAGTGGCAATATTCCAAGAAACCGAGATTAGATTACTTTTTAACCACGAACAATTTGATAAGACTAATTTTGTCGCTCGTGATTCGCTACAGTTGTGAATTCGAGATGTAAAATAACGTTATCATGGGTATAATACTTTTTAAACATCAAGCATGACTTTATCATATATAAGGTTGACGAGACCAAAACTTGATTCAATTATAAAGAAAAAAACAATTATATTCAAACTTTGTTTTTATAAAAAAAATTCAAGCAATGTTTTTTTAACACTAAAAAAAAAAAGCGTAGACAGTGCCAATAAACTTAACTTAACGAATTAAACATAAAATATCCTAATACAACTCTTTTTCTATATCAAGCTTCAAATTAAACATGTGGATGTTACCTCAACATAATATAATTGACTTAGTAGGTTTAGAGATAATTTGAATGATATATAAAAATATAATTTAATTTAAAAAAATAATTTAAGATAATATTATTTTTTTAGATATTAAAATAATAATATATTTAATCAACGTTAATTAATATAAAAATATATAATGTGTATGATATATGTGCCAATATGCGAGGAAAGCCATCGAATTAAGAAGAAGGAGCATGCAATTTTCTCTGAACTCTGATGAGGATCTTTTTTTAATATAGTTGGAATGGTTTCAATAATAATAAAAAAAATTAAACTCTAAATTTTAAATTCTAAATCGGCATTATAGCTTTTGTTTATTTCCAGTAACCTATTTTTCTTTTCTTTTTCATTTTTATTTTTTTTCTCTGTTAACTCCTCGATTCCCACACCTATTTCTTCTTCTTCCCCTTTCATGGACAAAACATACTGCTTTTGTTTTTTCTTAATTTTTAATTTTTATCCCTTGCTTATCAATCTTTTTAAAAAAAAATTCAAATATCTTTTTACAAAATTGGATGCCGATCCAATGATAGGATTTTTTTTTTTTTTTAACTCCATGAGAACCCCACATTAAACCCATTGAAACAAAATATAAAGGTTATTCTAGAATAAAATTAATATAGAATAATCAAATTAAAAAAAAAACCACAAAGAAAAACATATAAAAAACATTGCATTATACAAATCTTTAGTGCAAATATGCTAAGATGCACAGCAGAAGAAACAGAAGATTGCATGGATGTTTTAGTTTTAATTTAATTTAATAAGGTTGAAGATGTTATCTATAGATTTGTGCCAACTCGTATCGTTATTAAGCATAAATTGAAATTTATTTTTTAAAAAATATATAAAATAAATAAATAATAAATTAAATAAAAATAAATAAATAATAAATTGTTATAAGATGAATTTTTCATAT